GAATTGATGCTTTTGAGTTATGGTATTGGAGGAGAGTATTGAAGGTGCCATGGGCTGCCAAAAGAACCAACAGATCCATTTTGGAAGAAGTGCAGCCAGAGTACTCCTTGGAGGCCAAGATGGCCAAACTTCGTCTCTCATACTTCAGACATACTTCAGGAAAGACCAGTCGCTGGAGAAGCATATCATGTTTGGTTAAGGTGGAGGGTCAGGGAAAAAGAGGAAGACCCCCAATGAGATGAATTGGCCAAGTAGCAGCATCAATGGATTCAAGCGTGGTAACAGTAGTGAGGCTGGCCCAGGATCGGGCAGTGTTTCTTTCTGCTGTACATAAGGTCGCTATGAGTTGGTACTTGATGGCACCTAACAACAAAAGTAAAGATGGTGCTTTGAAGACTAAGGCATGTCTGACCCAAGTCATGGTACTTTCCATTGTTTCATATGCATGAGAGTACTGGACAACTAATAAGGAAGACCAAAGAAGAATTGACACCTTTGAATTATGGTGTTGGTCAAGACTATTGAAAGTACCATGCATTGCAAGAAAAACAAGTATGTCTTGGATGAAGATACAGTCAGAATGCTCCTTGAAAGCAAGGCAGGCAAGACTTCACATTTCATACTTTGGATGTATTTTCAGAAGATTCCAGGCCCTGGAGAAAGTCATCATGCTTGTAAAAGTGGATAGTCAGTGAAAAAATGAAAAGCCCCCAACGAGATGAATTCACAAGGGAGCAACACTGCAGGACTGGGCATTGTTTCAATCTGTTGTGCATAGGATCATTATGAGTCAGAACTTACTCAGTGACACCTTAGAACGAGTCCGAACTGACTCAAAGGCACAGAACAACTACAGTCAACCCAGAACAATAATAAACCATATTTCTCATGGATTAATTTAGTAGGTTATACAAGGATATATTACCTACTAAGTCTAAGATTGCTGTATGTACAGTGGTGAGGGAGAAGCTTTTTGTTTGTTAGACCAGAAATTAGTATCCCTTTCATCACACATTCAGAAATACTTTATCATTATGGAATAGTGCTAGAAATACCAAGGTAATAGAGACCAGCTTTAGTCTTTTATTAATCTCTTTATAATAGCAAACTTCCATATCTTAAATTACCATAAACTAAAGTACATCCTGATTAGGGAGTAATGACCTTAGAAGAGAAATTTATTTTTTGTATTTTGTTCACTTAGATAATTATTATCATTTAATTAACCACAGGTCTCTTGAGAACATAGAGAGTTAGTAATCTTGCATTGTGCTAATAGTTAAAGGGATACACAATGGGTATAGGGTTGACAGTCTAGTAAAAGAGACAATTATATAGAAAACAATGAAGGAAATGACAAACATGCAATCTATAACTAATATTTGCTTGCATAAAAAAGAATCATTGAAATAAAATTAACATGCATAAAACAATCATTGCTTGCATTAAAAAACAATAATTGCAATGAAATTAATGTGATTTTAGTGGTCCACAGCACACATCTTTTGTGATACTGTAAGAAGTTTCCTTACTTGAGATTTCAGTGTTTGAAGTTGTCCTTCATAATTCTGAGTCATTGCCAAGTTACACTTTTCCAGACTGTCCAACTTCTGGCGAAGTAACCCCACCTGTGTTAAGAATAAAACCTGATTTTGCTGCTTCTAAGTTTTGCCAGATAAAATCAGAAAATGTGAAAACGAGGAATGCAATTCAAATAAAACTGTTGAACCAAGCCAAGAATAAATATTTGTTTTTCAGTTCTTAAAATACGCTATTAAAAATTAAGTTTGCAAAAACCAACCATTGCCTACTCTATTCTACCGGGTGCACATTAGGACAGTATGGCATGCGCTTTTAACAAAAGATCCTTACTATCATTACATTATTTTTTATCATTACATTTTAAATTAAAGATTAGACTTTGGTTTGCATTGTCTTTTTGGGGACGCTTATCTGTCATCATAAGGAGCCCTGTGGCACTGTAGGATAACCACAAAGTTGGCAGTTCAAACCCACCAGCTGCTCCTCAGAAGAAAGATGAGTCTTTCTGTTCCTGTGAAGATTTTCAGCCTCAGAAACCCTCTACAGAGTCACTGTGAGTTGGAAATGACTCAGTGGCAGTGGATTTTGGCAGTGGTATCTTTCATCATTATTCTGCTGAAATATTTCATTGTTTTTTAGGTTCCACTCACTGCCTTCAATGGGAAAGATACCTGGTGGTACAACAGTTAAGCATTTAGCTGCTAACAAAAAGGTTGGCAGTTTGAACTCACTCAATGGTTCTGTGAGATAAAGACCTGGTGGTCTGCTCTTAAAGCAGGGCTTTGAACTGATTCAAACTGGCTCAGTCATGCCCAGGAAGTGAAATTGGAATAGGCCTGAATTTAAAAAATATGGATGACATGGAATAACAACTAGAATGTGGAAATTTTTATGTGGACACTCTGGAAGGGAGAGTCAGAAGAGGTAAAGTGGTCTTTTTCTGGAGGCTGACGTGAGAGACTAGATTATTACCAGGACTGTGGAATACACATGCATTCAAAGCATTATGGTTAGCCGCCATCTTTGAGGGGGCAACACTGTTTCTGAACTGTGCCAATCAAAACGCATGGTTGCAATGCAATGTGAGCAGTATCCTTATTTTGTAAGAGGAAGACTGAGTTTATAGCAGTGTATTGACCCATACTTTCCCTGTTCCAGTTATTGTCCCAGTTCACCCACATTTTATAAATTCAGATCCATTCTGGCTTTGCTTTGTCAGCCATGACTGAACTGGGAAGAACTGACCTGAAACCCTGCTGTAAAGATCACAGCCGAGAAAATCCTATCTGACAGTTTTACTCTGATACACCTCACTATGAGTCGAAATCTACTTGACGGCACCTAACAACAACAACCTTCAATGGGAGCTCTACTTTGGTGATGGTATGGAATAATTGTTACATTTTCATATGAACTAACATGTAAAAAATTCTAAGAGCTGTTCTCAAGGATTTGACTTGCAAAATTTGTCTGATTAAAAAGCAAGTAAGGCACCTGCTTACACATCTGTGTCATTGAAGGTATAGATGTATGTCAGGCCTGAGGACATTGCTCCACCACAAGGAGAAAATAGAGATGCCAAGTACTTATTTCCTGTGGATCCTAAGTTCCACTGAGAAGCAATAAAAATAGGCAAATAATTGATGAAGAAGTTAATGATGATGCTTTAGTATATGATTAGCACACATTTCTCCTATGACTAGCCCAAAAGAAAAACTCAGAGACCCCAAACTCCACATTATATAAAGCATATGGTTTTCCTGAACTCCTTCAAAGGCCTGAGAGCACCATCAATTCTCCCATGATCCCCAGCTTGGCAGAAAACAGCCTTTGCAAGTGGGTTATCCAGCTTTACACACATACTTTCACCAAACACTTTTCTCCTTTGGCCTGTAATCAATTCTTGACATTTCACTTCCTTCAGAAAATATTTTCCTAGCATATTAGAAGAGGCAAATGCTCCTGAACTCTATCTACCTTGTCCAAAGACACACCTTTGATGACTACTTCTATCTATAGCAGCAAAAGTACTTACATCTTTGCTTGCAAACCATATTTATTTCACAGATATATTAAATACGTATTTACTTTTCTAGATGGAATTGACAGTACATGTCTGTCAGCATCAGCAAATTTCTAAGGATTTAGGTTCAGACTGTCAATAATTTGATAGAACACATTAAGCACTTTATCTGCTGAAATTTCAAAAACTTAAGTCCTGCTGCTGTTGCCTGATAGAAAGTATACATGATGAAACAGACATTTGGATAAATATTTTTATAAAAGTCTGAGGAATTAATGATTTGTTAATACATGTATTCAGTACCTCTTGACCTTTCTGATCCAAACAAGTTTGTGCATTTGCCAACTCTTGATCCCGAAGATCTAATCGCGTCTCCAAAGCCCGCATCTTCCTTTCCCAGTCCAATTTTTTGTTGCTTACCATGATGTCAATTTGTTCCATTAATTCCTGAAGCTCAGCCTCACAAGGAGAAGCTCTGGCAATTGTAGAAAAGTAAAATACTTCTTAAAAGAATGACATACGAAGGCAAGAAAAATTTATCTTATTGATCTGAACAGCTTGATCATTATTTTGCCAGAATGTTCAATTAGCTAAATAGAGAGAAGTCTAAAAGAGGTCAATTTTTAAAAATTAAAATTGAAGGCTCATTTCAGGACTAATAGTGTATCTACATTTACAAAAATAGTATCTTTTACAGTTGATTAATTTTAGGGAAGATATTAATTATGAAAAGTGTAGGACACTTTAAGAACTGATGCTCTTACATGTAAATATACATGTACCTATCAAGGAAAGGAGCTCTGGTAGCATAGTGGTTACGAATCGGGCTGCTAACCTCAAGTTCGGCAGTTTAAAACTACCAGCTGTTTCACGGGAGAAAGATGAGGCTTTCTGCTCCCATAAAGATTTGCAGCCTTGGAAATCCTGTGCAGAGTCACTATGAATCGGAATCAACTCCATGGTACTCAACAACAACAACAACTATCAAGGAGCTCTGGTGGTGTAGTAGTTACAAGTCGGGTTGCTAACTCAAGGTCAGCAGTTCGAAACTACCAACTGTTCCATGGGAGAAAGATGAAGCTTTCTGATCCCATAAAGATCTGTAGCCTCGGAAACCCTGTGCAGGGTTTAAAAAACCCTGTGCAGGGTCGCTATGAGTCAGAACCGACTCCACAGCAAACTACCACCACCACCATGTATGTCTATCATACGGAGCACTGGATGCAAATCACAAGGACTGTCAGCTGCTCCATGGGAGAAAGATGAAGCCTTCTGTTCCCCCCAAATTAAAAAATCCTCAGAAGCTCTACACGAGTCACTATAAGTCTGAACTGACTCAAAGGCATTACAACAATAAGACTATCTATAATGGAGTCCTATGTGGCCCTGTAGGATAAGCACTTACTAACCACAAGGTCAGTGGTTCAAGCCCACTAGCCACTCCTTGGAAACCCTGCATAGGATTGTTGAGTTGGAATTAACTTGACTGCACTTAGCAACACCACTATCATCCATCATAACTTGAAAAGGCTTGGCTGCAGGCAAATTGGGATTGTTGCTGTGGTCTCGCAGGGATAGTAGAGCAAGCCTGGGCTAGGAAAGGCCAGAATCAAGGTACTACTGGATTGTAGTGTTGCTCCCCAAGCAGGGAAATTTGACATGATCTGTCTGGTGTCAAAATGGGAGGAATTTGATCAGGCAGGTGAGGCATACTATGATTTCTTAAAGTCAGATAAGTAGTGCTATCCTGAGTCTAAGAGGGTTTGTGATTGGCATGAGTGGTTAGCACTCTTGGCTGCTAACAAAAAAAGTGGTGGATCGTGTTTCCACTTGGAGGCACCTGGGAAAAAAGTCCTGATGATTTACTTCTGAAAGGTTAGTCATTGAAACTGGTGGAGCAAAGATCTACTTTGACACATGTGAGGTTACCATGAGTTGCAACTGACGTGATGGCAACTGGTTTGTCCTTTTTGTTTGTTGTTGTTATGGTTTTGTTTTGTTTGTTGTTGTTATTGTTTTAAATAAGATCTACAGTGTTTGATAACAGCTAGAATTATCACTTAGGGTTCTCCTTCAAAGGAGCTGAACTATTTCCTAAGGACTTGACAGTTAGTCCAGTTACTAACACTGGATAAACAAGGTGGACATGGAAACTTGAGGCTTTAGCTAAAGGAGCACAGACAGAAAAGTAAGTTATTTCAGCATCTACTCAGTGGTAGTGATGGGACTTCTAATATATTTTTGTGGCTGGTAGAAGGCAAGAGGGAGAGACAGGTGCAAAATGACATCATTCCCTTCATTTAGTTGTACCAAATCAGAATTCTAGTGCCAAGTAAGGATCATTTAGCAGTTTAAAAAAAAAAGTCTATAGAATCCAAGGTCATACAGCTAATTAGTGAAAGAGACAGACTAGAGGCAGAACTAGATTTAGGGCAGCTGCTTCCCATCTTATGCTCCTTCCTGCGTACTATACAGCAAGTAGCATGGTACTCTGAATAAGAACTTGATTGGAAAATATAGTGCAAATTACCTCCACTTCAGCAGAGACAGAAACAGGTACTAGAAACCCAAAGATTCTGAATTTCCAGAATCCCTTTCTAACGTACCCAGAGTAAACCTGAATAAAGGATGTCCATTTGATTAGTATATTCAACAGCAGACATGCCAATTTTGATAAAAGTGGTTTTAAGTACAAAATGCCACTCTGAAGCCTTGTCCTAGCATTGTTGTGATAAGGCCCAAAGTGTCTCAATTTTTACTTAAAACCTAAAGCAAATTTGAGAAAAGGAAGTACTAATTTCTCTATAAACAAACTGAATATTAATTGGAGCTATGATATGGGGGGAAAACATGTCAGAATTATGTCCTGGTGTTTTCACATCATTTTTTCTTTTTTTCAAAACAACATGTAAACTGTTTGCTGTAAATACCTTTTGTCTATTTTTTCTGCAAGTGTAAGTTCCAGAAGACCAAGGTCAGTATCAGTCTTGTTCCTCACCATCTTACCAGAAGCTAGCACAATGCTCTAGAACAACTCTTTGAAGACGAATATGTTATTTTTATTCCTATTTCTTCAGCATTCAGGAATGCACCACACTAATGGAATTAAAATACAGAACCAAAAGTAGAATGTCTGCACACTCTCAGCTATTCAATCAATATTGTTAAATAAGCGAATGGCTTATTTCCTGTGTGACTTCCTGCTATGCAAAAGTTAAGACCTTAAGCTCTGGCTGGAAGGAATCTCAGAAGCCATCTGGTCCATCTACCTATTCGGTGTTTGCATTCTTCCTACAAATCTATCTTTAGAGAACCATCCATTAAACCTATTGGTCAGATACCGTGGTCTAGGAAGAGACCAAAAATTTCTAATTTTTTTTTGTTGTGCAGTGCTGCTGAGTTGGTTCCAACCCACAGCAACATTGTATAGGATTTCCGAGGAGCAACTGGTGAGTTTGAACCACTGACCTCATGGTTCAAAACAACTTTTCAGTCCAGTGCATTAACCCACAGTGCCACACCATAAGAAAAATGTCAAGTAATTCTGAAGCATGCCAAAGTTTGTGATCTGTTTTGCAATAACGTTGTCAAGAGGTTGTGGAGCTTAGATTCTTCTAGTAGCAGGTAACTACTGTCTGAGACTGTATATTGTTGTTGTTGTTGTTAAGAGCAATAAATTAGTAAAGTTTTTCCTTATATTGAATTGAGAGGTCTTTATTTGTTCAAGCAACTGGTCCTAATTTGATCCCACGGGACAATGCAGAACAAATGCCTTTTCAAAATGGTTGGGGTTCAAGTAATTGAATACAATTATAATGTACCTCCTGACTACTGGGAATCCTATTTTTTCAATGTTCATTACAAGACACTGAATATATAGATGTCTAGACCATCTCTGACAACAGAATTCTAACAATCACCTCTGGGCAACCAGCCTGGGAAGTCAAATCACAACCTTTGCAAAGAGTCAGAGCTTGGTCACTGATTGTTAGCTTCCCTACTTTTTTGCCCCAGCTTCCAACTCAGGACCAACAAGAAAAAACGCCGAATATGAACCCCAAACAAACCAGATAAGATGCCTTGCTTCTAGTTAGCCTGCTGGTAGGTTTGGACCACTGACCCTGTGGTTAGCAGTCTAGTGATTACCTTAAAACACCATACCAGGACTCTAGGCACTGTATAAATAACTTTTATTTGTTCTCATCTGGGTGGTCTACACTTACTTCCACAAATATTTTTGTGTCCTTCAATTGTTCCTAGAGATTATTTACCCTCCACCGCTCTATGAAAGGGTTGTATTCTTTCACCACACATATTCAACTTGTATACTGAGTAAATAATCCGAGAATCTGAGTTAGATGAAGAAAAATGTTGCATCAGGATTGGAGGAAGACTCATTAACAACCTGTGATATGCAGATGATACAACCTTGCTTGCTGAAAGTGAAGAAGACTTAAAACATTTCCTAATGAAGATCAAAGAGCACAGCCTTCGGTATGGATTGCATCGCAATGTAAAGAAAACAAAAATCCTCACCACTGGACCAATAAACAACATCCTTATCAACAGAGAAAAGACTGAAGTTGTCAAGGACTTCATTCTTCTTGGATCAACTATCAACACTTATGGAAGCAGCAGTCAAGAAATCAAACGACATATTGCATTAGGCAAATCTGCTGCACAAGACCTTTTTTCAAAAGTGTTGAAGAGCAAGGATGTCAGCTTGAGGACTAAGGTGCACCTGACCCAAGCCATGGTATTTTCAATGACCTCATATGCATGCGAAAGCTGGACAGTGACTAAGGAAGACCGTAGAAAAATTGATGCTTTTGAATTATGGTGTTGGAGGAGAATATATTGAAAGTGCCATGGGCTGCCAAAAGAACCAATAGATCTGTGTTGGAAGAAGTGAATCCCGAGTGCTCCTTGGAAGCTAGAATGGCCAAACTCCATTTCTCATACTTTGCACTTATTATCAGCGGGGACCAGTCCCCTGGAGAAGGGTTTGGTAAAGTGGAGGGTCAGAGAAAAAGAGGAAGAGCCCCCCAGCGAGATGGACTGGCCAAGTAGCAGCATCAATGGACTCAAGTGTGGCAACAATTGTGAGGTTGGCCCAGGATCGGGCAGTGTTTCGTTCTGTTGTGCATAATGTCGCTATGAGTTGGTACCAACTTGATGGCACCTAACAACAACAACAACAGCTCTATGAGGGGTGTTTCAAAAAGTTCCATTGTCTTTTTTGGGGGAAACTTTTTATTGTGAAGGTTTACAGAGTAGATCACTGGTTTTACATCCAACAAATTGTACACTTTGTTTCATCTCGATGACTGCAATCTCTTCCATGCAAGTTACCCTACTTTCTCCCTATGCTTCATATTTCCATTCCACCATCCTTCCCAACTGCTCTGAACCTTGTCTCTAGGCAAATGTTGCACTTTTGACCAGTGTGCAAAATTATTGACCATTCCATAATGA